GGTGGAGATGGGAGGAAAGCGGCTGTAGACGAAGCTTAAAGCAGAGCAAAGTAAATCTGTGTTTTCGTTTATATTGTTTAGCCTAAACTAGGACAGTAATACATACTGAGACATACTGGACATTAAATGTTGTGGCTCCCAAGGTGGTTTGATTTTTGTTGAAAGGACAAAATGGCTCTTCTTATCATTTGTGCTGTGACTCCTGACCTAACCTGGCTTTAATGCAGAGGGAGCCGGTCGGATTTCTCACTCATCCAGTTGTGTTTTTGTTATGTACTACCACAGACTGTCCGGGCGCTGCACTTACCCACTTCCAAGTTCCGCCTTTTGCGTTCCGTCAACATCATGTTATAAATAAAATATTTAGAAAATCGATTTTTGACATTTGTGAATCGATTCAGAATCGTCCACGTCCGCATCGCGATACATCTAAGAATCGATTCCCCCCATCCCTAATATTTACTATGGTGAACTCTCCTATATACTTTCACTTTTTTCTCTGCCATAGAAAATGTGCAGCAAACACCTAAACAGGTTCAGAAACTATAGATGTTATGTAATTTACTAGCCTTCAGTAGCCGCTGCAAACTAGTCGTTAACAGGCTAAACACATTCGCCAACTGAACCAGGCAAATTTTAACGAGCATCAACAGATAAATAGACAGACAGCTAAATAGCGAAATATACAGATAGTAATTAAAGCAAAACCATGAAAACTGGAATCGTGATTTAACCTTTTATAGCAGTTTAGGCACAGCTCTACACTGCATGCACCCCTCCCCTTCCCCCAAGCCTGTCACATCCGTGAGAGGGCCGTTAAGGAAAAGGATGGGGACAGGCTCTGACTTTCACTGGCAGCTTGCGGAGAGGCAGCGTGTGACTCAGCCCCGTGAACGAGCCTGGGCAAATAAAGGAGTGCACAGAGCTCCCTAATGTGCCTCCATGTGACTCATCGGACTGGATATTAGCATCGGTGGGCCGGGCTCTCAGGAAGTGCCTGCTTTGCTGCTCGGAGCTGAGGCCGGCCACCACAGGACAACCACAGTACTTAACCAACCATAGTAAGGCCATCCTCCCTCCAGATTCCTCATAAACAATAACTTCATTTAGGTTTGTCAGTTTGAAACACTACTGTTACGGAATGAGGCCTCAGTTCAGTTCATGAATGGAGCTCCGGTCTGTTACTAAAGCCTTGGGTTCACTACACTCAACTTTTCAGCTGCTGCGGAACTGAACTGAACACGTGCAAACTCTTGCGTTCTCTCGCGTTCCCCTGTTACTAGGAGACGCAAATAAACAAACATGAGCTGCTGCTGCGGTTTTCTCTGCCATTTGCGCTGAAACAGTGAAGAAGCAGCAGGTAAACATGTGTAAATAAGGCTCACTGATTAAAAATGTGATCAGTTGGTATTTTTATAGTTTTAAATGTACATAAACTCAATTGTGCCTTAAACTCGGCTCATTAAAAAGCTTCGCTCCACACGTGAGAGACCTTTCGCCATTTTTCTCTGTTTACTTGCTGTATTTTCGTCTTTCGCGCTCTCAGTTTTCATTGGCTGTTGCAGGAATCCCTTCAGATTGGGTCGTTGATCAGTTTACACTAGATTACACTCGGAGTCGGGTCGGAAAATCAAACATGTCTGATAAACTCCGACTGGTCTGGAGGCCAAAAATTTGACTCTGCGTCCCTCAAATATGACTCGACTCTCCCTCCAACTGTCGTCTCCGACTGACCCAAAAATCTGCAGACTAGAGCCGACCAGCTCAGACTGAGAATCGGGGCTAAAACCGGGGTGAAAGTCGTGTACTGTAACCCCGGCTTAAGAAACAGCTGCAGAAGCCATCTGTAAGGGAACAGAAGAAATCAAAGCGGTGAGCCTGTGGTGATGCCTGTCCACACTCTCACCATTCGGGCTAATAAGCTCAACACACACAGGCCAGGAGTTACTGAAGCCTCTACCCGCGAAGCACAGACTGGAGGAAATGACCCTTAATGAATTCACACTTACTGAAAGCTGATGAGAGAGGCAGGCCTTACACAACAAAAGGCTCTCCCCTCCGGACCACCAGGAGGAACAAGAAGAAAACCGGAACAGCTATGAAAACGCAGGGAGCTCAGACAGTCCGACGTCTTCATGAACACTATTTACTCTTCCTAACTGAACTCGGACGCGGCCCATGCTGAGGGTAAACAACTGGGCTGTAATGGAATTCTCAACAGCAGGTTTAAGCTTACGACGCCAGGGCTGGTCGAGCAGCTGCCTGTTAATGCAAATAACGGGCACTCCCACGAGCGCTTAACCAACGCCAGTAATGCGATCTTCTCTCAAGGTTCCCTTCTGAATATTAGTGGTGGCATTGTTAAGAAACAAGGGCTTTGTTTAGTTCATGAATGGGGTCTTGGGTTTTTCATCTTTCACTAGAGCCCATGTGTCAAACACAAGGCCCGCGGTCCAGATCAGACCCTCGACACAATTCTCTCCGGCCTGCAGAGGTATTTTAATTTTCTATTAATATTAGTCTGATTAATAATGCGCTGCACTACAGTCCCCAGCATGCACTGCAATGTTATCTGCTCTCTGACTCTCCTACCCCAACAACAGTCTATGGGACAGCGGTTACACCTCAATTCTACACACCATCACCCAACACACTAACTGCAGTTCAGTCAATATAAACACTGAACGTCAGCTCAGCAGCTCAGAAACTGAGCCCAGGCTTAATGAACTCGCAGCAAGGAAAGGATTCCAGGTGTCTAGTTTAAGCAGATAGGTAGGTTTAAAAGACTGAACACCTGGGGACGTTTAACGTTTTTAACTCCTTGGGACCACAGGTGGTTCAAAAGCGCACTTCGTCATATTCTTCATAACTTTCATATTTCATAAGCTACATTCTAAAGGTGGGGGTCGTATGAGAGCTGTAACTGTCTTCTCTCCAGTCAAATAGGTGGGTGATGTAATTTTAAACCCTTATAATAAAAGAAGCTGAACTTTTTTTTCTACTGAAAGTCGACCCATTTTTCCACAAATCTGGGCTATAAACTATAAACAGATGGCGTCTCTTCTTACTTTTATAAAATAATACAAAGAGCGTCTAAGATTTTCGGCTTTCGGCAGTAAATTGTAAGCATAAAGCGATATGTGTATCATAAAACACATGTTCTGTTAATTTGAGGGGAGCTTTTACAAAAAAATAAAAAAATAATATCCAAAAAATGAAAAATTTACAATTATTTCATGCAGTTACTGAATAATTTGCCTTACGATTTGGTCACGTAAATTCAGATGGACAAACCAAAATATACCCCGGTCAATAAGTGGTTAAACTTTGAATATTTCAAATATTTACGTAATATTTCTACTACCTTATGGTGTATAGGCACCTAGTGCCTGTATTTTACTGTTGAATGTTTGCGTATTTTGAATAAACAATGGCTGGTTTAGGTTTCAGCACAACATTAATTAAAAAAATGAAATAAAATAATTTTTTAAACCTCTGGCCCACAGATTTGATGAGATCTTCTAATATGGCTCTTTTACTCGTTGAGTTTGACACCCCTGGTCTAGAGAACAGGTGAAGAAACCACCTTAAAAAGAGAGAGAGACACAGAGTCTAATGAAGAGATCTGAATAACAGGTGCTGAAGCAACTGCCCACTGGCTTCTGTTATAACTGGGTTTTGAGATCTGTAATTAGAGGGAAACACACTGACAGAATCGCCTGTAGTCACTGACTGTTTAGAGATTAGACTGAAACATGCTGTATATATTTAAACCAAAACCAAAGTAACAGAAAGGCAAACCTGATATAACTTTAAGGCCTCAAGGTCAGGAGTCTGGAAACCCTTCTCAAAGAAGATCCACGCTACATTTATTAATATATACAGAGTGACCACTTCATTAAAACCACCTCCTTGTTTCTACGCTCACTGTCCATTTTATCAGCTCCACTTACTATATAGGTGCACTTTGTAGTTCTACAGTTACAGACTGTAGTCCATCTGTTTCTCTGATACTTTGTTAGCCCCCTTTTACCCTACTCTTCTTCTTCAATGGTCAGGACCTCCAGAGGACCCCCATGAGGATCATTCTCAGCACTGTAGTGACACTGAAGGTGATGGTGTATTAGAGTGTGTTGCGCTGGTATGAGTGGATCAGTCAGAGTCAGAGTTTTTCAACACCTCAGTGTCACTGCTGGAATGAGAATAGTCCACCAACCAAAAATCAGCCCGGACCGTCCTGTGACCACCGACGAAGGACTAGAGGACTAGACTAGGACACAAACGCTGAGCTACTGTGTTTACATCTACAAGACATGTCTAATAGAGTGGATGGACTGTGTCTGATCCACTCGTACCAGCACATCAGTGTCACAGCAGAGAAAGATATACCCTGCGGAGGTCCTGACCACTGAAGAACAGGGCAAAAGTGTGCAGAGACACAGATGGACTACAGTCTGTAACTGTAGAACTACAAAGTGCACCTATATAAGTGGAGCTGCTATGATGGACAATGAGTGTAGAAAGAAAAGGGTGCTTTTAATGAAGTGGCCTCAATCCGGTCACCAGAGGGAGCAGGTGCTCCAGGTGTACACAGGTTGTGGCTCTGAGCCATTTTTCCCCCGTTCACTAGCAAATAGGACCACCTCATCCTCAGCCACACAGGTCTTCTCTTACCAATACTTTTCAAATGCGCACACAGGGGAATGGTGTGAGCTGAATGTATGACACCCAGCAGCAAAGACACCTGAATACTGACGGATTAAACCTGCTGCGTGCAGCATTCACAGCCATCTGTGTGAACCGTGGCCCTCATTACTCGCCATATAATCGCTATTTGTGCATCAGCCTGGACCAGCTAGCCAGCTGGCAAGCCACAACACATTACATTCCCGGGGTTTCTTCCCCTTAAAGACACAAACTGAACGCCTGAATTACACATTCCCCGTTTTGGAAGAATTAAAACAGAAAACAGAGTAAAAAAGAGAGTAAATTGCTCTTACCTGTGCGGTTCCTATCCTAGGCTTAGCTAGTGGGCGAGCTAGCGGACTAGTCCAAGGCAGTTCATGCGCAGGTTTACGCTGACAGGCCGAACGGGAGCGTGGAAGTGATGAAGACCGCGCATTCAGGAATGTGGGGTTTTATCACGAACGGCCTTTTCTCATCTTCGCTCGGTTCTTCGGTTTGTTTGTGTCACAAACGCCGAACCCCCGGCAGCCCGAAACGCCTTGCGGTGAGGACGACGGACGGCTCGTCTTGGACAGCGTGGAGTACGCTGAGTAACGCTACGCACTTTGCGTAAACAAAGCGGCCATGTTGGGAAGGGCAACGGAAATAGAGGGTTGCCACTCACGACCATAGATATACATAGCTAGATACGGCGACGCCATTTTGGGGCGGTCAACATCGCGGCTGGGCTGCGTTCAGTACCATTACAGAGCGGCAGGTTAAGAAAGATACTGTCCAAAATTACACTATTTCAAGAATATTACACTCAGAAAGTGGGATAGGATTATATAACGGAGGGAACGCAGTGATCCACACTCATGTCTGTGTGATGTTTGTGTGGATGTGGCGTGTGGTTAATGAGGCACAGAGAACCTGTTGATGTGATTGTTTTCCTCTGGTTTTATATTAAGCTTATTTTATTTAATAGTCTATTCAGGGGGTCTTAACGTTAGGTAGTTGGCATTTGTTTACAGTGATGGCTGCTTTGTAGCTGGGTAAATTATAGCATTCCTTAATCCGTGTAGATATTCATAATAGATTAACGTTAGAACCTTCTTACACGAACCTGAAGTTATCTTCTTATTTGCCGGCTTCTTGTTCGAATTTTCCCGTTCCACCTTAAATGCTGCAGCTTCAGGCACCAGAAAGTGACTGCTGGACCACTTAAGGTGGAACGGGAAAACTCAAAACAAGAAGCTGGTGAATAGGAAGCCAACTGCAGCTTTGTCCTTCTTACTGTGTTTTGGGGGTTTATTTTATTTTTATGTGTATTAAGATCAGAAGTGATTCACACATTGATGGATTTGCTGATGTGTCTGATTGTGTGTTGTGCTAAACTCGGTTTTTAACGTCAGGTACAGACTGAATACTGTCCTGCTGGTCCGAACGGTTAATTATCACTATCAGTTATTAAAGTAATAAAAGCTACTGAGAGCAGATCCGGGCAGCCTGGATTAATCTGTGTCTCAGGATTATAACTAAACAGATGTGGTGAAAATCGGTTGAGTATTAAGGAAGTTGTGGCTGATTTAACCCTGAGACTCATCGACTCTCAATACAAGTGAATCTGTTCACACGGATCTTGACCTCTCCAACATGGCGGACGCGCAGACGTATCGCTTCAGACAACGCAGCATCTAGGAATGGATATCTATGCTCACGACTGCCGCCATTGGATCCCAGCGATCCTGGCACAGGAGGCGGAGCCTGTCGGAATACGGGCGGGAATAATAATGTAACAGCGGATTCAGACACCTGTGTAGGTGTGTTTAAAACACGGTGCCAAATTGTCAGTTTTACAGCGATTGATTTACGTGTTCAGTCATGGCTATTATATATTACAGCCTACTAGGTGACCAAACATGAAAATATAAACCAAAAAGGATCTTTTTTTTCCTGTCTAAATCTCAGATGACTCCCTGCTCCCTACGTAGTGCCCTACATTAGACCTAAAATACTGGCTCCTGCACACAAACAATGCATAATATGGCTAACAAATAGTCATTCCGCATTCAGCCACGTCCATACTGGACAAATTTAGCACTATTTGAGTGCAGAATCTAGAATTTCAAAACTTATGTATCACACTGTTTAGGGAGTAGGGAGCCATTTGAGATTCATTCACAGTTTTGTCACAGATTACTGGAAAATCTACCCAAAATCTCTGAAAGGCCTGGTCTGGCCTCTATTCAGGTCAAGAAAGGCTTGATCTGTGTGATCATTATGGTATGAGAAGTGCTGGAAAACACTATGTGCTACAGAACTGCTCCCGAAAACACATATACCACATTAAATATTATGTCAGAAACAGTACACCACATTTCTACTAGTGTAGTATGGTATAGTATAGTATAGAAGTATGAGGTTTGGTTTTCCAGCCCAGGGCTAGAAGTGGAAAACCCTGAGCTACTTGCATCGGGCAGAATTGTTTGTAGAAGCTTGTTTGAGGAAAGGGTGTGACGGAAATTATAGGCTCTTAGACAAATGAATGCTTGTATAAATGGCTTGTTGATATAGTTTAGGAGTCCTTAGGCTATTATATGATATGTTTATATGTTATGTATGCTATGTGTTCTGCCTGTTTTTAATGCCATGGGTATCCAAAGACAAATTTCCACATTGTGGACAGTACAATATCTCTACCTCTCTAAACCTGTTTACTACTTTAGTCGTCTGATCAGTAGGTGGCAGTACAAACTCACAAGTAAAGGAAAACCTGCCTGCATTTCCTTTTAGAGTAGAGTTTACAGGATGGTTTGTTCTGAAATGATGCAGTGATTCTGGTTCCAAGGGGTCAGATTAAAGGAATGGTTCGGTCAAATTTATACACTTTTCCCTTTACCCCAGAAGTAGTTGATCAGCCAAGACGTTTCATTTTACACTGGAGCTTTAGAGCTAATTTTACTAAAAAGTTGTCAGTGTCACCCGAAATCTTATTGGGTGCTTTGCCAGAGTGGGTAATGTGACAAGCCCTGTTTTTCACCCAAACATAAACACAAAAATGCAATGGACCCCCAAACTGTGAACGACAAAGCCAAGTACACAGCGATCACCGATCAGGCATAACACTATGACCACCTCCTTGTTTCTACGCTCATTGTCCATTTTATCAGCTCCACTTACTATATAGGTGCACTTTGTAGTTCTACAGTTACAGACTGTAGTCCATCTGTTTCTCTGATACTTTGTTAGCCCCCTTTTACCCTGTTCTTCAGTGGTCAGGACCCCCATGGACCCTCACAGAGCAGGTACTGTTTGGGTGGTGGATCATTCTCAGCACTGCAGTAACACTGACGTGGTGGTGGTGTGTTAGTGTGTGTTGTGCTGGTCTGAGTGGATCAGACACAGCAGTGCTGCTGGAGTTTTTAAACACTGTGTCCACTCACTGTCCACTCTATTAGATGCACCTACCTTGTCAGTCCACCTTGTAGATGTAAAATCAGAGACGATAGCTCATCTGCTGCTGCACGGTTTGTGTTGGTCATCCTCTAGTCCTTCATCAGTGGTCACAGGACGCTGTTGGCTGGATATTTTTGGTTGGTGGACTATTCTCAGTCTCAGAAGAACAGGGTAAAAGGGGGCTAACAAAGCATCAGAGAAACAGATGGACTACAGTCTGTAATTGTAGAACTACAAAGTGCACCTATATAGTAAGTGGAGCTGATAAAATGGACAATGAGTGTAGAAACAAGGAGGTGGTCATAATGTTATGATCAGTGTAAATGTGCTGAATTTAAGGGGGTCAATAAGGTGGGTAATTTGGTACAGATCAGGTTTATCAGCTAACTGATCTCATGCAGTCATTTTCATACATGACTCTTAGGATGCCAGCAACACGTTTAAAATTAAGTTGTGGTTGGGCAGCAAAAGACTGGTAAAGTTATGCTAAAGTTAAAGTTAAAAAATACCCAGAGGAACATCTCACAACTAAGGTTAACTGACAACAGGTCAGTAACATGACTGGGTATAAAAGAGCGTCTCAGAGAGTCTGAGTCGTTCAGAAGTAAAGATGAGGAGGGGTTCACCACTCTGTGGAAGTCTGTGTGGGGAAATGTGCAAGAATTCAAGAATAATGTTTCTTAATGTAAAAGAGCAAAGAATATCTGGATTTTATCATCTACAGTGCGTAATATCACTAAAAGATTCAGAGAAATAAACATGGTTTTATTTTCTTTGGAACCATCGTATGAAACACCCAACAAGAACCACAGAACGAGAAGATCATTCACTGAGAATCCAAGCTTAACGTATTCAGGGGTTCCGGATGATGTTCCAGCTGAATGTAAGGCAATCACTGATTCCAGCTTTGGCAGTTTGGCTTTCTTTTTATCCACATTTTCTATCGTACAAAGGTGCACACTGGGTAAATTATAAATCTTTATATATCTACATTATAAAATCTGAGTGCTCACCAAACACTTTCTCTGTCGTGTTTGAAATAGTACAGGTATATCTTTGTACTGTAGAATAAAACTTCCTTTTTCAACGTTTACTTCTGCAAACACACCACGACCTGAAAGAGCTCATTTAAAAAAAAAGAATAGATGACATTTCCTCATATTCTGCCAACACAAGTATTCTTACCTCAGCCTGCTTGTTAGTTAACTGTGGCATAAAAAACTAACTTTTTTTACCTTAATTTAAAATTCATTTCAGAATCGCTTTTAAAATCCCAGGCCAAATATGACTCAAAGTGAAAAGTGTTGTACTGTTATAATACACAGCCATATTCTCACCTTTGTACTATTGTTTTCTTTGATTATGTTGTGCTGATCAGTTCCCAAGGAAATAATACTACATGCATGTTTTTTGGGTTGAGTCTCCTCTGTACGATTCCCTCCCTACGATTTTCTGCTCTACAGACCCACTGAGCAGTGGCGTCTCTGGCACAGAAAGCCTGGAGGGGCACAAGCTTCAGTTCGTCCAGAACGCTGCAGCCAGAGTTCTCACCAAAACCAGAAAATTTGACCACATTCGCCCAATTTTGTGTACCTTACATTGGTTGCCAGTTAAAATTCCGCATTGAGTACAAGATTCTTCTACTGATGTATAAAGCTCTGAATGGCTTTGCTCCTCAGTACCTCAGTGACCTTATTTCCTATTATCAACCGACACGCCCACTTAGATCACAAGGTGCTGCTCATTATTAGTACCCAGAATTAATAAAGTTACGTCAGGGGGAGGAGCCTTTTCATGCAAAGCCCCCCAGCTTTGGAATAGCCCACCAGTCTGTGTTCGGGACTCAGACACAGCCTCCATCTTTAAGTCTAGGCTAAAAACTTACCTGTTTAGTCGAGCTTTTGGTTAATTTGTTTTCCTAACTATCTGTCCCCCTTAACCCCCCCCTTTCCCTCTCCCCCTCTCTTTCCCTGAGCTGAGCGGCTGCCCGTCCTAAGAGGGTCTGACGTGACTGATGCGGCCGGCGCACTGCACAGAAGTGTAAATATCATATATATATAAATAAATTTGACTTGACACAATAAACTGTAGGGGCAGCAGTGACTCGTCAATGAAACTACACACAAACCTGATCCAAACACAAACATACATCAGTGAAATCATAAACTCACACTCACATAACGGTGCA